GAATAAGAGCTATTCAGGTTGTTAATAGTTTCCAGGATTCAGCCTTATTTTAAAGATTTGTTTTTTCATTTTTAATTTAAGGCTAATAAAAACATGGATAACTTGCCGGAGGTCTTAGTGTCTCAGTAAATCACTATGCTTCATTCATTAGATTCCAACTGTATCTGCTCTGAATAAAGCTTTTGTTGTCTTACAAACAGCAGCCTTCAGTAGGTATTCATTTCTAAGGCACAGGTCTTGCAAAGACTCGTGTGTGTGCTTAATGAGTAGAAGTACTTATAGTGCGTAACATTTTAGAATGCATGTAATATTCTGCAATTTAGGGTATGTATGACTTTTCTACATGGTAAACTTACTGTATTTGGGATCAGTGCTCTCAAGCATGCAGTTTTGCTCCTGTTGGGGTGTCTCCAAATAAAAGTGATGAGCTATGCCCACATGGCACGTAAGGTTTACTCCTTAGAAGAGCCAGTTAATCTTCTTTCACACTAAGTAACTTGTAACTGGTACCTTAGAGATGTGGCAGCACTACTTTTGGTCCAGAACAGAATAGTGTGCTTGAAGAATCTGCTGCTGGACATAGTAAGTTTGCTATGTGGGCATGGTTTAGGGCCTAAATCCTACAGACATTTAAGCCTATGCTTAATTTTACTGTTTTTAGTTACTGTCATTTAAACCAGTGACCATGTGGCCAGAGTAAAGCCTCTTCTTGATGACAGCAGAAATACGGTTACGTTGTATTACATTTTCTTGGAATTAGCTACATTGCTTGAAAACCTACAGTTATTCCCTTCATTAGGGGAGTGTGTGCACATGCTAGAAATATTAAAATGAAAACTGACCCCCCCCCCAAAAAAAATCTGACTTGTATTTTTGAATATGCAATAAAAATATGAAGTACAAAAATTTAGTGTGTTGGGAACTAAGTTATAGGTTGATTCTGCATATAAGTCGAGTTCATTTTTTTACAGTTCATTTTGAGGAAAAAATGTAGGCTTAGAATAATAGTAGTTAGTGTTTTATGGCCTGCCTTAGTGTAAACAATAGGATGTAATTGGCTTAAAGTTATTCTTGTTTTGCTTTTTTTGTTGGGGGGAGGGATTGTGTGTGGATTTTTTTTGTTTTGTTTTTTGTACTGGGGAAAGAAAAGACCTCTTTCCTAAGAAAAAAGGTTAAGAGCAGACAAAAAGTAATAAATATATGGATCTTAGCTGTGATCCCAGAATAGTGAAAATAAAGTTCTAGGGGATAGGTTTGGAGACCACTAGTTCCTAGCTTTCCCAGGCCCATGGGCAACAATACTGAGCAAGGTCTAGTTTACCCAGCAAAGTTTTGCCACTACAGTTATGTTGGCTATGGGGTACAGAAAGATCGAATCCTCCGATGGGGTATGCTGTACTTATTTCTGTGGGATGGGGGTGGGAGCTTTGTAAAACTGGGAAAGAAACCCTTCTGGGCCTCCACTAGGGGGCTCTGCTGACATAGCTATGCTAGCATTGTTATAGTGGCAGTAGCTCCATAATGTAGACTAGGGGTGGTTAACTTGTGGCGTGTGTGTCATAAGTGGCACAAACAACCTGTGTGTGTGGCACCTGGTTCAAATCGGGGAGGGGATAGGCAGCAGCAGGTATGACAGGGAGCAGAAAGCAGAGCAAGAAATTGGGCAGGGATCACAGGGAAGGGAACAGAAAGCAGAGCAGCTGATTGGGCAGGGGAAGGGGATTGGAGTGGCATTTGGGGCGGGTGTGGGGCAAAAAAAGATTGACACTGTGATGTAGACAGGCTTCAGGTAACACTGCATCCCTGTCCCTGTCAACCTTAGTTTTAACTTTGCTCACAGTCACAGGAATCTGTTTTTAAGGGCTCTGCAGGTTTTGTACTGTCTGAGTTCTGGATTGGGGATTACTTGGGCAGAGGTAATTAACAAAGGGAAAATAAGGATTTCAGAGGATCAACAAAAGCAGCTTTATTTCTCAGAAGAAATGGATGAATCGGCAAAATGCTTGCTTCAGGGAGCATCTTTTTACCTGTAATATAGCAGACTGCTAGGAGGATAAGTAAAATGCATAAATTAAAACACGTGAGCTAGTTTAAGTGCCAGCAGTTGCAGTGTGGCACTCTCTTTATCATGGTTAAAGAAGAGAGTCTTTGTTGCAGATGTTAATTTTTAAAACCAGAAATTGAACCTCAAATATCTTAAAAACAAACAAACAAATCCAACATCCCCTTACCAGATTAATACTTATTGTTACTGGCAAATTAAATTACAGCATCTGGTAATGTGTTTGTGGTTTTATTAGGTGCAATAATAAATACTTGGCACTTTAATGCATTTCATTCAATGACCTTAAAGTGATTTGCAAACACTAATTAATTAAACTTCAAGATCTAAGTCTAAGGTAGGTACTGGACTACTTGTTCTTGTAGCCATTATTTTACAACAGCATAAAACTTCATGACCTTATTAAGAGGTAGGAGTTTGATTCAGAGGGTTGTATTTTGGGATCTCTCTTGCCACTTTTTAAAGTCTAATATTTAAACATAAACACTTTTTTCAATAATACAGTGGAGAACACCTGGTTTTCTAACCTTTCAATTTGAAGTGATGGGGACTTGGATATAGACCATTGATTGTATGTATGAACAAAGATTTAACTGGGTGGGGATAACATGGAACAGTTGAAGCACTTGTAACTGTTCATGTGCCTGGAAGGATCTGTGATGAGTAAAAGCTAAACTGGTTTGGCTTCATCCTAAGTGAAATGCCGGTAAGTTCCCCAAGTTCAGCAGTTATCATGTTGTGATTGCAGGGGACACGAAGAGTTATCCCACTTCATTCATTTGGCAGTAAGTCACTGTCTGTATTAGCTCACTTGTTTATATTAATTGTATACATCTTGTGAGATGTTAATATGCAAATGAAGCATATTTTTTGGTTACCCTCAATTCTAAATGACATCACGTCCTCTACTCAGCTTTTCTACCTTTAAAATTCATGACAGGTAAATGTCTTCCAGATTTTCCTGCTCTTGTTTGAAGCATTTAATGCCATTATTGACTACCTCAAAACTTCATCTATGCTATGGCTCTAATTTGATGGATTGTGTGGTTGCCTAAGACTTGAGTCTTCCATTCTTTGTGTCAGACTGGTTTAACACTCAGCTTCCAATTCTTACTCATTCAAAGATGTGAGTTTTCTGGAAAATTTTGAATTGGAAAATTTTCCAATGCCCTAAATAGTGCGTGATCTGATTTAACATGTTTATTTGACTTATATTTGGTAAAAAGAACTAAAAAAGTACCCCCATGTTAATTTTGTCCTAATAGCCGCAAGTATTTGAACTGAAATATTCGATTGGGAAAAAATTAAATATAGCACACTTAATGTGGTTTAAATGTTATATTCAAACAAATTCAAACCTTTATGTGGAAAGAAATTATTTTTATTGGAATACTTGTAAAAATGTAAAGACAGTATACAATAGCATGTACTTCTCTTACATTGTTTGCTTAAATTTAAGAAAACCCCCCTGAAGGCACTGAAAACTGTTGACACACTATATTTAGCACACTCAAAGAACTGTGCATGATATGCCGTGGTTGCCCACTCATCTACTCCACTGAGGCCATTGCAGCACCTCTAGTTTCACTGTCACTATCTGGAGAATCACTTGCATTACTTATTAGTTCCATTTCAAAATCAGGTTGAGGCAAATCTGATTCAGAACTACTTGAACCACATTGTCTTTTGCTAAAGGATGGCTTTACCAATGAGTCTATGGGCAAGGGCAACTTATCTTCACACTGTATCTTTTTCACTAATTATGCTTCTGACTGATTCTCCAGAAGCAAGAGATTCTGAGACTTAGAAACAAGTTTAGTAGTACGTTCATTTGTTAGGCTATTCCTCTTTTTTGTCTTGATTGAGCTGAAAGCTCTCCAGTTCCGTTCACAAGAGGCTGCTTTTGGTGGAATGCTTAGGATCCTTAGAGCAATCCTGGACCAACAGTTGGATGTTACAGTTTCCCTTCTGCCATGTGAGAGGAGACGTATTCTCTGCTGCAAATGTCTTTGCTCCAAAGTTTTTTTGGTTTTTTTTTTTTTTGTGTGCGGTACTCGGCAATGTCAGTCATCACAGCTATTGGTATCCATTCATTGTTACTAATGAATTTTATGAAAAAATGAATTTTTAGAAATGGAAAATTTCCCACAGAAAAATAAAGCACTGGAAAATTTTCTGGAAATCTCTGCTCTGTTTGCTTTTTGATTTACGTCGCTTTACTTTACTGTAGCTGTGGCTGGGTATTGAGTCTCGAAAGATCATTGCTTTCCACTTGTATCATCCAGAGAGGGCTGTCATGGTGACAGCAGTGCTTTATGATACTTCATGCAAGAGCTCAGACACTCTGAGGAGAGCTAAATCAGTAGGCTTGTTATAAGAGTTAACCTATTTTGATCCTCTGTCTGGTGATAAAGTCCTGTGTTACTAGGACAGAAGTCTGATTTGTCATTAAGTTTTCCTCTGTAGTAAACAGAGGTAGTATTATATACAGCCTGTTAAATGTGATGAGCAGTTGGATATAGATAATTTTGTTAGGTTTTTGTTCCGAGTCTTTCTTCTGTGGGAGTTATACTTGGCTAAAATTGCACTCTTTTTTTTTCTCTCTATTGGATTTCTCCCTCCTCCCCCCAACCTTTTTCCTTTTCTCTTGTTCATTCAAAGCTGATATGGCTATAGTCACTGTGGTGTTTCCCCACTCACTGAATTAATATATCAGAGTGAAGATAAGCATCTTTTCATGGTATTTTTGCTGCCAATTTCATGGATAGAAGGAAAGTTTTTTGCGTCTTTTTGTAATTTTGATTTATTGTAGTAAGAGAGGTTGTTGGGCTACTGTCCAATGAAAATAATGAAGAACTAGAATTTATCACTATCTTTGTGGAATGTTTTGTTTCTTTTTTTTTCTTTTTTTTTCTTTTTTTTCTTTTTTTTTTTACAGGAAGCAAAACCTTCCGCTGAGGACTTGGGGGATAAGAAAGAGGGAGAATATATTAAACTCAAAGTTATTGGACAGGTGAGTTTTTACATAGTTAGTTACTGGTGGTATTTGGTAGTTTGAGAATGTGTAGATGAATGATTTCCTTGTTTTACATGTGAACACAAATTTTGACACCTACACTATTTTAATTTGTAGTTTTTCCCCAAAATTACCTTCCTTAACTTACCAGTGATAGCTGTCATCTGAGGGCATCTCGGACTAATACATTTATCCTTGCAACTTCCTGGTTGGTTTAGTATTAGCCTTGTCATACAGATAGGGGCACTAATGCACAAGGCCATTTGAGTGGTTGTCTCAAATTGGCCTTGTGCCTTAAGACAGGAATAAGATGCAAAAATGATCTTGACAAATTGGGAAAAATAGACTTATGTGCAAAATATAGCATATAGGAGGAATGTAGAAATGGAAAACGGAGAATGGTTGACTAGGCTGTAATACTGTGAGGAAGACCTGAAGGTTATAATGGACAGCATGAGTCAGCAGTAATATAGCTTAAAAACACTGCTATCATACTGAGATATGTTAACAGGAGTCCTTTATGCAAGTCATTGAAGGTGTTTGTGTTCTTCTGTTGAACATTGGTGAAGCATCACCTCGTACTGTGTCCAGTTTGGGGCTACTGCATTTCAAAGAAGATGTGTAAAAAAACGTGGAGAGTCTCTTGAGCGTAAGTGAGCAAGATCAGAAGCCCAACAAACTTACAAGGACAGGTTGAAGAAATTAGTATTATTCTAGAGAGCAGTAGTTATGTCTAGAGGACATGACCTTCAAATAAAAATGGGAATGTTACAAAAATGATGTTGATCAATTGTTATTAGTACCCACAGGGGAAAGGAGGAAGCACAACTTGGAGATAGGCGTTAAATACTAGCAAGAATTTTTCTAACTGTGAGGGTGGTTAAGCAGTGGAATAGACTCCCTAGAGAGGCTGTGAAATCTCCATCACTGGAACTCTTTAAATACAAGTTAGGTAAACATTTTGTCTGGATGTTTTAGACAGCTATTCCTGCCTGGTGTAGGGAGTTAGAATAGATGACCTGCATTTTTTCTTTGCTTTTTATGATGTGCCCAGTCACTTCCTCCTTTTGTCCTTGTGACAAAATATATAGTAGAATTTGCAAATTTGTTGGAATCTGACAGGACTGCACTGTGAGCATTTCTGATACGGCCTTGAGTGTTCAGCCTCTGGGCTGTCAACCGTGTGCCTTAGCATCTGTGCCACCCCCACCCAGTCACTTAAGAAGACCAAAGACAGTAACTCAGTTCCAGATTTCTTCACTCTGTGTAGGATGTTTAACCAGAATGTGTTCCTATATCTGGATAGAGAGAAGCAGCCGTTTGTTGATTACCAGTTCTGGGGAGAAGACTCTGTAGGTGGCTATTCTTTCCGCTTGAAGTAAAGCCTATAACTTTAAATAGTTCAGGTAATGAGAGTCTTGGGATCCTTGAACTGAAGTAATTCTGCACAAAGCCACAGAGTGCTGCTTCACCTGCTAGTTCATTTAAGTTCTCTTAATATTGTCTGTGTTAGACTTGTTAGCTGGATAGCTTGTGGGCTGGAATCTGGGAACCAAATTTAGTTCTGGCATAAGCTGCCTTAACTCCTATTAATATAATTGGAAATTACAATTGCATATCCAGCAGCTGAATGTAGCCTGTCGACCATAAGAGCAAAAGGTTTTTTAGATGTTTGCATTTATAGGCATTTTTTCAATCCTTCAACTTTTCAGTGAGGGTTTCTAGATTTGTGGAATAACAAATCCTTTCAGGCTTCCCTTTAAATTACTGTTGTATTACTGAGTCGGCCGGTATCTTAATTTACTCCAAATAAGCAGGGTTTTAGTTACATGTTTTGGAGTGTGAGTTTTAATTTCTCTCTTGGTACCTGAGACCAGAGATCATTTGTGCCTCTTTCTTCTTTAGTAGGTGCATCGGCTGATAAATATGGAAATAAAGACTTATGAACTCAAGTATGGTGATATTTAATATTTAAAAATTCAGAATGTCTGATGAACCCCCAGGCCATATCACACTATCTGTTTTAAAAATAGGACTCCAGGTGAATGGAGGGTTTCACTTACATCTGTCACAATATAATCCTGTAATAGGACAACTTGCTGTGGGTTAAGATAAACACATCAAACTGTCAAACTGTAATAAAGTTGGTGTTGGGCAGGTTTTGTAATAGTAGGTAAGTGTAAAAATTAACACCTACTTCAAGCAAATAAGTTATTAAAAAGGGGGATAACTTCTTTCTGCTCTGTTCTTAGGACAGCAGTGAAATTCACTTCAAGGTGAAAATGACGACGCATCTCAAGAAACTCAAAGAATCATACTGTCAAAGACAGGTTTGTGGAAGAAATGGCTAAATCTCATTACAAAAAATAATTTGCTTTCCATGCCTTTTTCCTAAAGTAAAAGCATTTTGGCAGGCTAGGAAGACTCTTAGGAGCATGCATGCATACAATAGTCCAAGTATGGTGGTTTGCCTAAGTAAATTGACATACTGGTATTTACACAGGACAGCAAGGTGTGATCTTGTCCAACTCCAGTGGGGTTGACATTTATTAGTTAAAATGATTTGGCAGCTTTTAGAAACAGCAAATATTACCTTTTTAATATGCTCATACATGCACTTATGGCTACTGTTAAGGTAAAATTTCCTTACAGTTGTGAAATACTTAAATGGCCATGTAGGGGTAGAGTTGGATATGTACCTACTATCATTAATGACATGGCAATAAACTAATACTATGTAATTTGATATGACTCCTAAGTCCATTGCATTAAATGCTTACTTTTGTTAAATAGGAACTGCTGCATAGTACATGATCAGATTTTGTTGAAATTACTATTGGACCACTGGAAAAGTATCTTGTCTCATTTGTGGTTAGCTTTTGGATTAGCTGCTCTTCCACTGGTAGTGTTCTTCAGGCTTACTTTACCAGCTTTGACCTTAATGAAAACTTAGTTTGTTTCAACAGTGAATAGAAAAAAGGTAAGTGTGGAATAGCTTTTCTTTACTTCAGTTATCTAATGTTTTCATTTTTTTGTGCATTTGGGGTCAGTATCATGTACTGTACATATATGATGTACTGCTACACGAGCTAAAAAGAGTATCCTTAGTTTGCTGCGTATATAACTTCAAAAGTATTATAAGTAATTTACAGGCTAATGTGAAAATCCTGCCAGGAGGAGCTTAATTTTAAGGTATGGTTGGGTAAATCTTTTCCATTAAATAACCCCACTGAATCTCTAGTATACATGCACAAATAATGTAAAGCTGTAAAACAACTTTTTGTTTTTTGTACCAGCTGAGCTAAAACTTGGCCCCATAACTGGAGTCATTTTCAAGTTTCTTTATTCAGCTGCAGTTGCAGGCCCATGTCACCATCCCATTTCTATGGCAAGAAGATTTTTAATATAGTTTCCTCTAGGCCAGAGGTTCTTTGACCCCTGGAGCTATGTTATCCAGCCCAAGGGGCTTCTTATAGGTCCTGAATTTTGGAAGCAAGTGAGTAGCGCTGGGGTTCTGAGGCCCGATCCAGGCACACGGCTCTGGGACTCAATCCCGATATGCTGGGTTGAAACATTGAACACCACTACTCAAAGCAGTTCAGAAGGAATTTTACACTACAATGACTGTAGCCTCTTTTGAAGATAACATTTCAAATTTTATAATCAGAAACTACTTAATATTTTGTTGATGGCCTAAAACAGAATATTGGAATGTGTGTTTGGTTATTTGGTAGCTGCATTGGCATAGTTACAGGAGAGTAATAATACAAGGAAGGTTGGGTTCAATTTTGTCGTTACTGTTCATCCCACATGGAAAAGCACAGTGCATCTGCCCTCAGTTTTCAGCATACATTCTCCATAGAAAGCTGGGATTTTTAAAGATTTTGAGGTAATTCTGCTAATTTTATATGTCCCAATTGTTAAAATTGGCCTTAAACAATTTATAATCTAGTCCATGATTTTATTTTTTGTCGTTTTCCAGCTTAAAGACTACAAACTAGAGGAAAACTGAAAAAATATAGATAGTATAGGTTTTTCTCTGGACCCATGTCATTTTTTTATCTTAATTAGTGCTAAGCACTGTAACCAGCCCATTATGCTTCAGGTAGCAGATAAAGCACACCATTTGTCAGCTCCTATTCTTTAGTATGATGTGACAAAGCCTTTTTTGAACTAAGGAAATGCATCCATAACTAGAACAAATAAGTGAACAAAACTAGATTTTAGTACTTTTAGGGTAGTGGTTGGCAGCATTTTTGAGTGGTGGGCTGGAACAACCAAACTTGGGTCCAAGGCAAGCCAGCACTTCTGACCCTGTAGCTGCGGCTGTTGCTTCTTTTGTGCCATGGCCAGGCAGCAGATAGAGAGAGCCCCCGGCTGCTAAAGCCTCCCAGTTTTGTGGGCTGGATCCAATGGGTTTGAGATCTGGACCCAGCCTACAGGTAGGAGTTTGGTGCTCCGCTCCTCTCCTCTCCTCTCCCCCCCATTCTAGAGCATTTCATTACTGAACTTTCTCGCTTTGAGAAGGCAGTGGCTTCTCTGAACAATGGGGTGTCACAGTGGGTGTGTCTACATGAGGTGCTTTACTGTGCATTAATCTAGTCTGCACAGTAAAGGGTCACTATCTACTTATGTGCAGCAATTACTGTGCAGCAAATTAGCCTAATGCACAGTTTTCTAGTACCTGTGGATATAGGTACTAGATTAACTGTGATTAGGTACTACTGCGCAGTAGTGTATGTATAGACAGCTGACTGGCAGCAAATTGCTCCTGGTTAACCCGGGCAGCATGGGATGGGGAGCTGCTTCCCAGCTGCATGTCCTGATCTGCATAGGGACAGTCCCAACAAGGGAGGTTCCCTGCCCCATGCAGTTTGGGGTATGCGTCTGGGAGGCAGCTCCCAGGGAGCCTGGTTAGCTCCCTATTCCCTGACTCATGCAGGGAATATAGGGGTGTGGGGCTGGGAGGCAGCTGCTTGGGAGACTGGACAGCTTCTTCCTCCCCTGGGAGCCCAGGGCTGACCCCTGTGCCCCCTACTCCCCCTGGCTGCTGTAGGGGGGCAGAGCAGAGCAGGGCACAAGCAAACCTGCACAGAACTGCTCCCACACAAGTTCAAAATAAGTGACCTCTAAATAAAACAAGCCCAAAAAATCATAACCCGTGACACTCAAAAAATTAAAGTGATTTTTAAAAAAAAACAAGCCCACTTCCGCTTATAATAAGCAGACTTGGCAACCTTCATTGTGCTGTATCTAGCTGATTTCAAAAACTTAACTTAGCTTTCCAGAGCAAACAAATTTCTATTTTTGAACCCGGTAGGAAAGATGCTGCCTATGCCTATTCTTAATGCCCCACTGATGCCATGAATCATCCTAATAGGAGTGTCAGGTTTTCCAGTGCAGGGAGCATTTATGTTCTGTTTTAGATGAAGACTTCTGACCAAAACAGAAGACATGAAGACCTCTTTCTTATACAGGGTCTCTTGGGATGCTTGAAGAGTTCTTCTGTGAAAGTGCATAGCTTGCTGCAGAACAGAGGTCCTGAACTAATTAGGCACTTACACAAAGATCAGGCTTTATGAAATTGCCAGCAGCTTTGTTGGAGGTTTTGATTTAATCCTGGGGGGGTGATGGTATTAGGAAACTCATGCAGACAACTGTTTTGTATTTCACTTAAGGTTGGTCTGTGCATAACATATCAAAATCACAAAAGGAAAAGAAAAAATAACATCTTTAACCATTCATACCTTCTGCTCCTACAGTCATGCACTTAACCACTACCACAACCACATTGATTGGATGACTTAACTCGAGTGGCCTCCAGCACCGTTTTCTACCAAAACTGTGTGCAACTTCCCCCTCTAGGGGAAGGCAGAGGGATATGTCTAGTCTATTTGTGCTGGTTTTGAGCTGGGAATGGGAGGAGTGCAGGAAAGCACATCATTGACATAAAAAACTTGCTCTCATTTCTTATGGGTGATATGCAGGTCAGAAGGAACCCAATCCAACCATCAAATCCTAGGCTGAATTTCGTGGGGGAGGGTGGAAGTCTTTAAAAAAGCCAGCTTGTAAACTGAAAAAAACATCATCTGGTAATAGAGATGAATTCAGAGGTCTAGTATGATTTCGGAGTAAAGCTGTGATTTTAAAGGTAACATTCAGCTTAACCAGTGTATTTGGTGTGCAGTAAAACACAAATATTTGAGACCCTTGCACATCCAGGGGTTGAGGTCTCATCTTCAACTTTCATTAGAAGCAAGGACTTGGAAAACTTATTTATGTACCAGATGGGCTTTACTAAGGCTTATTTGTTTGTGTTTTGTGCGTGTGTTGTTTTTTAGGGAGTTCCAATGAATTCACTCAGGTTCCTCTTTGAGGGTCAGAGAATTACCGATAATCATACCCCCAAAGAGGTGAGTTCCTTTTCTTTCTGGAAAATGACAGGGGACAGTTTAAAAAAAATGCTCCCCAGACATAACTAGAAATAAAAAAGGTAGTACTTATCTCTAGGGGTTTTGCTTTAGCTAGTGCCTTCATTCTTTTGTTTGTTTGTTTTATTTATTTTTAAAACAAGCAGATGAGTCATTTTTATCATAAAGAAATGTATACAAACACCAGCTCATTTTCTATTCGTTATTCATATGATTTGTATCTTAATTGTTGCAAATGTTTTTTTCTGTTGTTTCAATATTTATACCATAACACTGACCTTTGGGGATCAGAAACGGGATGATATATTGTCAATATAGTCATTTTAAACTTTCAGTTCACTTGGGGGAAGAGTTGGAAACAAGTTATTAATTGAAAACTTTAGATTTCAGCTGAGGCCCTATAGGTGAAAATGCTTTGTTACACAAGTTAGCCAAATGGCTCTGTAACTTAATGGTTTACGTATACAACAGTTAAACAAGAAGAATAAAATAAAAAAAGTAAATACCTATATATTGCATTAATAGGTAGCAAATGTATGCATATAGCAAATGTGCTCTTGGATAATGCTGTTTACTGCTCTGGAAATAGATTTGATCTCCCTAGACAATGTTGCTGACTTTGAACTAGATGTACCGCAAAGATGAAACATGGGACTTAAGGAAGAGGACTAAATAAACTCATTAGTTTTGGCTAATGAGATACTGATTCAGGATTCTATATTTTTTTTCACCCTTTTGTCCTTTGAGGAAATGTTTTCTTCCTCCATCCAATCATTTAACACTCCTACCTTGGTTCAGATTGTCTGTAGCTCCTTGACATATATGATTGGTAACCATTTTTGTGTTTCTTCCCC